AGGAACAGTTCACCCAAAAATGAAAATTTGCTATGGGGGAAAAAATACTATGGAATTCAATGGCTACCATGAACTTTTTGGTTAGCAAATATTGATTTTTTAAATCTAACAAATATTGATTTTTCATTAAAGCAGAAAAGAATGAAAAATAGAGCAATGTTTTTCAAATATATATTTTAATTTTTGCTTTGAAAAGTATAAATAAGAGTAAGAAAAAATTGCCATAGTTTATACAAAACTGTTCGCCGCAACATCAATAACGTTCATTGTTAATTTAACACAAAGAACAAATGAAACCTCTGAAATTGACAACTGATTGCTGTCCAGCATAATTACCATGTCTTGTTATAAAACCAATTTAAAGGAACAGTTCACCCAAAAATGAAAATTTGCTGAGAATTTACTCCCCCTTAGGCCATCCAAGATGTAGATGAGTTTGTTTCTTCATGGGAACAGATTTAGAGGAATGTAGAATAATGTAGAATGTCAGAATAGACTTGTTCAATGGAGAAAGCAATATTATATTATTATATTATATTACATATTAAACAAGCCAAGATGTAGATGAGTTTGTTTCTTCATGGGAACAGATTTAGAGGAATGTAGAATGTCAGAATAGACTTGTTCAATGGAGAAAGCAATATTATATAATTATATTATATTACATATTAAACAAGCAGCTTTTTGTTTCACAAAACATTAACTGATGGACTGGAGTGGTGTGGATTATTGTGATGTTTTTATCAGCTGTTTGGACTCTCATTCTGACGGCACCCATTCACTGCAGAGTGAGCAAGTGATGCAATGCTACATTTCTCCAAATCTGATGAAGAAACAAACTCATCTACATCTAGGATGGCCTGAGGGTGAGCACATTTTCAGCTAATTTTCATTTTTGGGTGAACTATTCCGTGTAAACCGTGCATGAACCACAATGCCACGGCTCCAACAATATGACCCATCAACCTTGCTTCTGATCATGCATTAATAATTGGGAAAGTCATTCAAAAGAACTGTTTTACCTGTTGAATTGCATGTCATGAATCTCTTCCGTTCTTGAATACCTAGAGGGCATTGAAACATTTCAGCAGTTTTCACAGGTAGAAGTTGCATGTTTGAAGACTTTAACGATGGGACGTTTTATTTGATGGGAACATGAACTCAATGGAACACAATTCTACAATGATTTCAATGGAATAAATTGAGAAAAAATGTATCTCCTCTATTGATATGATGACCTTCATTTTGGATTTCTTTCAACAGAATGTGGTCCGGTTTCATTGAAATGTGTTCTGTGCAAGCGGCAACCTTCCAGTCTCTCTCGTGAAACCAACACGGAAGTGACTAAAACTGCAATTCATCGACTGGCCGCTAGAGGCTCCAAAAGTGAGTCAGTCCCATAGACTCCCCATGTTAAAATGCCCAAATTTACAGCAGAAAAAAATATGTTTACAGCCTGGTACAAAAAGTGGTTTTGGTCTATATAGCTAATTTTGCCCTTCATGATAACTGTGAGGGGGTGAATTTTTGTATAACTCATCCGTTTAAATTATATTAAGCCTTAAAGTTCTGCATAATTAAGGGCGTGGCCACTTGAGTGACAGGTGGATTGCCGCTGCTGTCACCACCGTCGAGCTAGGTGGGCGAGGTTTCAGCAACCAGCTCCCGCCTCTTTGCCCATTTTCGATTATCAGGAAGTGACGCGCAGTGATGCACTGCCAAGATGGCGACGGCTGGCTCCGCCCACTTTGAGCTTCAAAAACGCTCTTCAGAAACCTACGGGTGACGTCACGGACACTACATCCATGTTTTTA